TGGCTGAATCTTCCTAGGTTTAATATCATAAGCACAATACCTTAACAGACAACATAGTGCCACAAGCAGAACATAACATTGGCTCTCTCTGTTAGTGATGGCTTCAAGAGCAAGATTTTTGGCAGGGATATTGTAATGGGTTAAATGGTGCATGGTAGGTGGTAGCTTGGGCTCTTGCTGGTTTCCCCAAGCATTTTTTATGTTCCTCTTCAAAGTTCCTCCAATTCTTGGAGAGAGCAAACTAAGTACTCTACTACCAGATAATTTACTCCAGAGAAATCCTCTCTGCTGCTGATGTACCAGATAAAGTATAAATGGCAAACCTTCTCCTTCCTGGCCTGACCTATCAAGAAGGTGCATGAATAAAACCAGGAGAGCAACTAGATCCTGAAAAGTTTTAAATATACTGAATATAGCAGGGTCAGAGATATGGAAAAAAATCCAAAAGGAAAGAAGGGCAAAAATGAACAGTTTCTTTCTGAAGCTCCTGAGCTGAGAGGCTGGCTGGCTGACTCTCTGTCTCTGTCTGTGTCTCTCTTTCTCTCTGTCTCTGTCTTTTTCTTTCATGCACACTCACAGTTTAAAACAGGGGTGTCAAACTGCTGCTTCGTGGGCTGGATGCCTCATGCTGAAACCACGCCCACCCCATTGCCGGCAATGGAAAAAAAGTCACGATACATCGCGACACGTCACGTGACATTGCGAGTTTGACACCCCTGGTCTAAAACACGTTTACATAACCTCAGCTTCTACGATAAAGTAAAACAGAATCTATCCTGCACCTAGCTTCATTGTACACTAGACTGTACTCTAGTTTCTGTTACCTAGAGCAGAGGCCCCCAACCTTTTGGGCACCAGGGAACGGTTCCGTGAAGAAAGGGGGCTGGGTTTTTCCGCATACTGGAGGGGGCGGGGTTTTGTGTGATGCCTACATCCTGTGGATGGGGCTTTGCTTGTTTGCGCGGATTGGTTTCTGGCATGTTGCGGACGGGTGCCAGTCCACGGACCGGGAATTGGGGACCCCTGACCTAGAGTTTTGGTCATAGCAGGCTTTTAGCTGGCCTTGGAGGTGATAATACAAACACCAAAAGTTAAAGATGAAGTATCATCTTCACCTCAGAGAGAAAACCTTCCCTCCTAAAGGGCTCATCAGTGTTTGACTATTCCAGCCTTTGGTTGTCTCCAACTGTTGCCTAGATTGAAAGGTCAACTAACTTTTCTTCAACTCTTTCAATCTGAACGTTTGAAATGGGTTTTTCCCACATTCACTGTGGAACATGCCATATTAAGAAGTGAAGTATGGATGCATATAAGCGGGGTAAGGGAGAGTTGGGTATATGTACAAATTGTATAGACAATCCATCCACCAATAAAACATGGGATTGTTGTTAGTAGTGGGTTCTAGAGCATCTTGACTTTGCCATAATCAATGAAAATGGCTGACACCTGAGCATTCCCTGAGTCATTTGTCAGCCTTTCATCCATTCCTCAGGGAACACTCAGGTGTCTGTCAATTTCTCAAGATGTTTAGTCTAATATATATTTTAAACATAAACATTTATTGTTAATTGTTTGGTTGCTTCTTACACACGCAAAAGGAAATAAGTGCAGTTTGCCAGGCAAGAAATTTGCAAGCTCTATGGAGAAAGCTATATAAGCGTAAGACCGAGATCGTTGAGCTATGGTGTAGTGGGTTAGAACACTGGCCTAGAAATTGATAAGGCGAACACAGAATATAAACACAAGGAACAATATGAACATACATATAAGATCTCGCTCGGAAAATTTATTCTTTATACTTCTATTTCTCATTTTCATCAGAGAAAAATCCTGGTGTACAATTGAAGGTTTGACTTTCTTGTCCAATGAGGAGACGATGGTGAAACCTGGGTTTTTTCCAGATGCTGACAGGCAAAAAACAAAAAAGCTGCATGAATTATTCCACCTAAGTATCAATAGCATAACAGCATAGAGTGGAACATTTCTGCTTTCAATGATGCTGTCAGTTTTTCTTAGTGGATTCCCAGATATTTGGGTGGGGCAGTTATACCATTTCCCCCCATCTTCTGCCATCTTTCATTACCATTTACCTTTTGACCATGAATGCTGAAATGTATAAATTGGTGAAAACAAGCAGAATTGGAGGGAGGATGCAATTTAAATTAAAAGAGAAGCTGCATACATTTGTATTAATGTATATTAATGACACTATATCATTAATGCTGATGTTGAATATCAACCTGTAAGTTTATTTCCATTAGTTTCCATGGAAAAATGTATACAAACACTAGAAATGAAATATGAGAGTTCTGTATTTGGCTATATTGGCTGAAATACCTCCTGGCTGTGTAGTAATTAACTACAATGACTGCTCTTGTCAGCCTGGTTGTTAGGATGTGAATGGGTTGTACAGTAATTTGGGAAGCTGACTAATGCAGCTTGCTGGATGTAGCTAAACTTCCTTTTTTCTTGCAGTCTTTGTATTTTTATTTATTCATAAGCCATAGTTTAGCCACAAGGATCCTCAAAGCAGCCCTGAATAATTACACGTTTCTATACGGGGTCTGCATGCATGTTTTATATTCATATAAATGTATGTGTGTATACAATAAAATGGATTAGCAACAGGTAGAAGGACTGAAAGCATCAGCATGGATGGTAACACTAATCCAAACGTGAGAAAAATAATTTTTTCCAAAGTCCATTAAAACAGGAAATTGTTACTGGTTTCCTAAAAGAATGGACAGATGCATATTCAGGCTTTTTATTTCTGTGTACTACTACAGTGAGTTTTCCTATCAGCACCCCAGAGAAGTTCTACCGGATGAAATTTGTGTTTCTTGGCAAACCCACATAGCTTCATGATTAACTGGGTCTGTAACAATGGAGGATCCTCAGTTGTTTAGAGGCAAGTTATTTCACCGGTTATCAAGTCCCTGATGCAGTACAGCATGAGTGCAGCTTCTTCAACATAGATACAAGGTGACATAAATAAGCGCCCCTTTCAGCAGTCTGGATGTTGTGTGCTTCTGATACAGCTCACAAGGGACATAGCTGTAATCTCAGTTTGAGATCATTGGTGTAGTTAGGTGGCAGCATCTGAAGAACTGGGGGCTGCAACTCAACTTCCCAGTCTTCTGGATGGTTGTGGAGTCCAACTGGGGATACTGGAAAGGACACAACTGAAATAGCTCTTGGTGCTTTCTTGCTTCCTTTTGCATTTTTGCACTAATATAAGGGTGGGAATGGGATCTGGGAGAGAACCACTAGCTCTTCTATCGTTAATTCATACGGCCCAAAGCATAAAAATACTGTACAATATTGTATTGCAGGTTACATCAGTAATGGGGAACTAAGGAAGAAAATCAGGACAGAATCAGAAATGCAAACACAAATTTTATATTGATACATTTTCTGCTGACTTGGGAATAGGTAGAGTAGGAATCAATAGTAGGAAAAGATCTGTCTCTATCTCAGTATATAATGAAGCTGCAGGGGAAATGGGAGGAGTTTGTGTACTTTATCATTTCAGTTTATAGCCTAAATTCATGCCAAAATCCACAAGTCTAATACTGCTCTTGTACCGTAGGAAATATAAGATCATAAAACCTGTTTTGGGTCTTTTTTTGTTTTTGAAAAAAAAGTGTATTCGTGATATTCAAGTGGAAAAACCAGCGTTTTGTTTTTTTAAAGGCATGTGCATTAATCGCAAGTATGCAGTTATGTAAGGTGGAAACTGGAAATTAAGTTCCTTCTCTCCCCCCCTCCCTCCCCCGTCTTCTCTTGAAATCTGATCAAAGCTGAAGGGGGTGGGAAAATGTTTTAAAACCAGTTCTAGGGCTTTGAAGTCACTTCCATCAATAAGAATTATTCTACTAGTTCGGAATGCCCAAAACTCAACTGCATGCAAAAATTGTATCCAGCAATGATTCATTACAAAAGATGTCTGGGGGGGGGACATCTGTTGCACTGAAGAGGAAATAGTAGGAGATATTGAAAAATGCATTATATGCCACCCAAGTGAGTCAGATATGGAGAAATACTCCTAGAATAAATTGGCCCTGATAGGATGCTGCATTCATTTTTCAAGGGGTAGAAATTCCAGATTTGGGCAGGCCGCTTCAAGTGCCTGTCCTGAGCTGCAGAGGTACCAGCAAGTGATATGGGGATCAGATCATCTCAGTGGAGAAGCAATCTTTAGTTCTTCAGATCCAAATAACAAGGCATAGAAGTGATTTGCATTACCGTGAGTCAGAGTGATACAATATTTCACTTCCAGTTGGAAATAGTCAACTCAACAGTCTTGAAATGCATAGGATTGCATATACAGAAGCAGTTTGCTCTTCACTGCAGCAGCTACATGTATTTCCAGGATTGTCCAGCAGCATTACTAAGTTGAAGACAGGTGCTGCTTTTTTCTTTTTTTTCTTTTTTGTATTCTGAAGCACTTCTTCTCAATTCAAACTGTAAGATTGCATGTCTTTTGCATTCAGAACACTCAGAAACAGACTATTGCTATAAAAATGTGCAGGTCTGATGGAATGCATTTTGTCTTCTTTGGCCTGGAGAGCTGTGGCCAAGAAAGAGCCTGGAACATCTCCCACTAAGTTTTATTACTCAATTTCCATTTAATACATGTATTAAGCCTGTAGTTCAGTGATGGTGAACCTTTTAGAGACCGAGTGCCCAAACTGCAACCCAAAACCCACTTATGTATCGTCGGGTGCCGGGTGGGCGTGGCCCATTGGGTGGGCGTGGCCCATTGGGTGGGTGTGGCACATTGGGTAGGCGTGGCTGCGGTGGTAATGGCAGACTGGGTGGGACTAAAAAGTTCAATCAATTCCAACTTTGCGAGATTTTTTTTCCCCATGAGAAGTTGAAATTGATTGATTGATTGAACCTTTTTTTTCTTGCACATGGCGGCGGAAGCCTAAAGCGAAAAGGTTTTATAAAACCCAGCTGAAGACCTAGGACTGGGGCGATGGCATGGGTGCCCACAGAGAGGGCTCTGCATGCCACCTGTGTCACGCGTGCCATAGGTTCGCCACCACGGCTGTAGTTCTCGGTCAGCAATGGCTCAATCTACTGTTCCCAAACTATAGTGAGTAAATTTTTTCTTTCCACAAGTAGCTATTGCCATCCTATAATAATCCCAAGGACCTGGGCTATCTTGCAGATAGTACAAGAGTATGAGACTCTTTGCATTGGAGTAGCATTTTTTAAACTTTTCTCTGCCAGTCTTTTAATAACATAGGTTATAATAGTATCATCAACTAGTGCTAGGTTTCTAAGTGTGGGCTAGGGAGTTACATATTTGGAAATAGAATGACAAACATAATCACAAAACGTAAAATCTGACTGCCTTAAGTTAAAGGCACTGAGTACTTTGAAAAAAAAGAAGATTCATTCTTGTTCCAGAAGTAATTATTATGTTTCTGCAGACAGGGTCTAAGCCAAGGATTCCCAACTGGGGGTGCAAGACGATATTCCAGGGGGTGCGAAAACTTGGGTTTTCAAAATTATAGTGTATAATTCGTTGCCGTTATTTCAAACTTTTATAAGGGGTGTGAGAATATATCAGAAGCATTCTAGGGGTGCAGGGTATAGAAAAGGTTGGGAGCCACTGCTCTAAGCCAACCTCTCCTGATTTATGTACCCTGGGACTGAGTTGATGGCCAAGTGAAATTTTGCCAACCTAATGTTTGAAAGGAAACAAACTTGAAGAGGACATTAACTGATGGCATCACATAATTGTGTGGAAATTTTTATAAGGTTCCCTTAAAATGTCATAGATATCAAATCTATATATACATACAAACATACATACGTATATAGTATACTATACATATATACTATATGTTTAATGCAAATTGAGTCAGGCGTCAATAAGCATAGAGATGTCCTTTTCATAAATAGTTATCAGCCTTTGTATTCTTGGAATTCAGAGTGATATTTATTAATTAAAATATTTATGACCCAATCTGTATTAATGTGCAGCATCATAATTAATACAGAGCAATCAGCAATAAAACAGCTTACAGATCAGAGTTTGGGCAAAGAGTCATGTCTTTCTTTGGCCTAAATATAAAACCAATACTGATCCTAACTTATGCTCTAGTCTAGATGGAGAATATTCTGTAGTTGACANATCTATCTATCTATCTATCTATCTATCTATCTATCTATCTATCTATCTATCTATCTATCTATCTATCTATCTATCTTGACATTGTATGTCACATGTGTATGCACAGTAATAAAGTTATGTCAGATGAACAATCCATTGACTGTTCACTTCAATAAATCAAGAAAAGCAGAAAAGCAAGCCCAGTTTTTTTTAATATCCCCAAGTCTCCCTCCCCCAAGCAGAAACCAGCTCTGTAGAAATGCAGATGTAAACCATTCAGGAAGGTTGAAGCTAGAAGATTAAGAAGACAAAGACACCTAAAATCTACATACCCCATCCAAACTCCAAGACAGGACATAATAGGATTAAACCACAGATGCCAAAGGGGCACACTCAGACTCAGGTCAAAATACATGACACAGGAAATACAAAGCCTCAAACAGGAACAGGAAACAACCTCAAGAGCCCCAGAGGGTATAAAAACCCACTCCCTACATGTGTTCTTTTTCTTTTCTTCCAGAGCCATCTTTCTGTCTGGCTCTCCTCTTCAATAAACTGCAACCTTCTTTCTAAAGCAGTCACCATGTTATTTATTCCCGGCTTGGACCGAACCATGATGAAGACTTTTCCTTCAACAATACATTCCTTCAACAATACATTCAACAATACATTCACTGTAGGAAAGAAATATTGTTCAGGTGCAGAAATCCCTCACATTGAAGCTTAAAAATATGAATTTGTACATGGATAAATATGAAAAGCATTTTAAATCATGGTATGGAAATCAGATTATACCATTTTGGATTCCAGCTATTGTTTTGCATAAAATGCAAGTTGCATTTATAATGAAATAAAAGTTAAAATCTTGTGCTTCTTTCTACTACTCCAGTGTTGCAACAGATTAGATTCTTGTCTTTTGGGGGCATGACACCCAATTTTCATGTTTCGTCTTCTCACGATAGACAACTGTGGTATCAAGCTGTTCATTTATGACCCTATGAGAAGTAGCTTTATTCAGAGAGATTATCCTGAAATTGAGAGATGATCTCTGTGGACTTGTAAGAACATTATTATGCACTATCCTTTAGTCTATATCAACTAAGCTAGCATAATATATTTTGTGCTGATGTTGTGATTCTTGGTGATTTCCCTAAAACACATTCTTTCTTTTAAAAAACAATGCTCAGTGGAATTTCAGTTACACTGGCCTTAGTACATAAAAGTTTTGTCTTTAGATGCTTTCCAGGAACTGCTTCCAGGATCATGAATTTGGATGGCTTACTTTGTAAAATAGGAGAGTTCATGCTGTTCTTTTCTTCTCTTTTTTGTATTATGAAGATCCTTATAGCCTGAAAATTCAAAAGTAAATGCTTGATATCATCCACTTTTAAGTTAGATCAGAGAACAGGAAATGTGATCCTTCAGATGCTGCTGAACTATATACTCCCTGTAAATCTTAGGCTCCTTGGAATTACCAAGAATTATAGTTAACTAACACAGGTTCTAAGTTTAAATACTTGAACCTCCCTCTCTCTTTCTGTCCCTCCCTCCCCCTCCCTCCCTCCCTTGCTTTAATATGATAAAAAGAGGAATGGGAAGACTGAGGTGGGATGTTGCAGAGAAAATGGGATTATGACAGAAGGTTAAATATTTGTGTGATATTTTGTGTGAAACACATGAGTAAAAGGAATAATTCTTGTGTATTTTGGGTACAGTGCATGAATAAACAGAGTTCTTGGTGGGAGAAATAGTTAGATAAAATTAGATAAAATAATACATTTCTCTGCCTTATAATTAGATTCTTGACTAAATTTCTCATTTTTGGTATCACCCACTTGTTTTTTTTGCAAAATATTTGCTGTGGCTAGCCTTACTTATCTGTGCTCTTTTCATTGGCACAAAAGAATAAAATCCCAATATGTTGAAATCCTCAAAGGGTTGGAGAATCGCATGGTAGAAAGTTTCTCAAAATATTTTATGAGTAATAAGGTATCTCAGGATATTATATCATATAATTGGGACCATGTATTATATGACCATTAGATGTGCTTAATGACCACCACATTTGTTTATGTCTGCTCTGTACATTTTTGCTTTGAGCTTAAGAGCAAATTGTGGCCATGGAATTTAGAATAGAAGTATGTCTAATATCATCACATCCACAGGCCCTTTTAGATTGCTATTATCAGTAAAGGTAGCTTATTTTCTTGCTTCATTAAGTAGTTATTTGATGACTATTCCTGCAGTACAGGAATTCTAAAGTTAAGGCATTTTATAAAAGAGGAGAATGGAATGTGCCTTCCTTGTCTTCCCAGTCTTTAGAATCTTGGAAGGGAAAGATTGCTATTTCAGTTGAACCTATAATTAGGGATAATAATAGGTTATTGAGTTTTATTTCACCAATTATCTTCACCAACTTAATGGCAACAACTCCCAGAATTCCCAGCCAGATTGGCCTTGGCTAATGCCAATAATAACATGTCAGAGAATTCTTTGAAGGTTGCTGCCTTCGATACAGTCTAGATGAGTCTCATGGAAGTTGCAAATACATGAACTGTGTGTGTATGGAAAAGGCTGAGAGCCATTTAAGTAAATTGGACATAAGTGACACTGTTAACCATGTAAACCATGTTATCTCAATTTAAATGCTCTTATGTGCACATGTTTGTGCACTGTTACTATCTTGATAGAATTTTAATTCAACACTGCTTCTGTGACCTGGTACTTACACTAATATAATTGAAACAAGATAGGGCAGGCATGTCAAACTGCCAGCCCGCGGGCCGGATGCATCATGCCGAAACCGTGCCCACCCCATTGCCGGCAATGGGGAAAAAGCCGCGCTACGTCACGCGATGTCGAAAAAGCCGCGCTACGTCACGCGATGTCACATGACGTCGCAAGTTTGACATGCCTGAGATAGGCATTTGGATTGTTTATAAGATTATAAGCCTTAGCCATAGTTACATTAAAATAGGCTTCTATTTTAAGTTAATTGCATGTATCCAGCCCACTCTACTTCAGGCCTAAAAGATCAATTCTCATCTCACTGAAAAATAGTGTCTGATTCATATATTTTGTTTTTCCAATCTGGAATTCAGCAGGTATAAGAAAGGAACTTATCTGCATCCATATACAGATGCAAGCAAAATTTAGGCACTCCTGATCAAATTATATGTATTAATGTACTCCCTATGAGAATAGAAGCCTACACCACTTCTACATAGTACAAAGTTAAACTTCTATTTATGTACTTGTTTATAAATTCATAATGAAAGAATAGTGATTATAGCAGGCACCTAGGTTTGGACACATATTCAGTCAATTCTTTATAACATGTGTAGTCAGAGAATTGTCTTACTGTTCTTGCTTTTGATTTTTTTTTTCTACTTTCCTTGAAGAATTTTTCTAATTCAGAAATATTCTTCAGTTTTCTTGCATGTTTGAGGTCTCTTTTAAAATTAACAGCAGTATTCAAATCTGGAGAATATAAAGGCCCTTCCAATCTTTATCTTTCATGGTAGATTTGGAAGCATGTTTCAAATTATTGTCTTTTTGAAATATGTAGCCTTTTTTCAGCATCATTTTTGTGAAACTATGGGACACAAGCTTCTAAAATATGATATTTAATTGGATCTATTCTACCTTCCACCACATAGCTCCAAAGCATATTAGGTGGCAAAATGTTCCATTGTTCAAACACTTCACCTTTTTTTTATCCAAAGGCACCCTGCATTATTATTGCTGAACAATTCAAATTTTGTTTTATTAGTCCAAAACTCTCGTTCTAAAGCATTTCAGGCTTGTTAGGATTTTTCTGTTTTGTTGCATACTTTAGATCATTATTTTTGTGGTGAGGTTGGATGAAAAGTTTCCTTGTCTCTTGCAGATCATTATGGTGTAAGCAACAATAAACTGTGGGGCTGTGGACAAGTATTCCAGTGCCAGCTAAACTCTTTAACAAGTTATTTTAAAGGCACCCAGTGCTAGAGGCAGCAAAGTAACTCTGTAAAATTGTGGAGCATCTTCCGTGTTTCTCAGTAAGGATGGAATACTTTTCTTTAAAAGCATTATTTTTTCTGTGAACATAGTTCTTCAGTGATGCATGAACAAGCTTTAATTTTCTTTCATTTGTTCAAAGAATATTCTCCCAGAAGGACTGTGGCTTGTCAACATGTACTTTAGCAAACTCCAGTCTGGCTTTTTTGTGCCTTTCAGGAGTGGGGTCTTCTTGAATCTTCTACTGTGGGAGCCACTTTCAGTCAGATGGCAACAGATGGTGACTTGATATTGTTGTACCTTGATCTTGGGCTCTGCCAAGATCCTTTTTGAAGTTTTCCCTGGTTCCTCCTCTACCATTCGAACTATCATTTACAGTTTGGGTTCAATTTTAATAATAAACATAATAATCATAACAACAACAGCAGCAGCAGCAACAACAACAACAACAACAACAACAACAACAACAACAACAATAATAATAATAATAATAATAATAATAATAATAATAATAATAATAATAATAATAAAGTTGGAAGGGACCTTGGAAGTCATCTAGTCCAACCCCCTGCTCAGGCAGGAAATCCTATACCATTTCAGACAAATGGCTGTCCAGTTTCTTCTTAAAAACTTCCAGTGTTGGAGCATTCACAACTTCTGGAGGCAGGTTGTTCCACTGGTTAATTGTTCTAACTGTCAGGAAATTTCTCCTTAGTTCTAGGTTGCTTCTCTCCTTGATTAGTTTCCATCCGTTGCTTCTTGTCCTGTGGCCACATTCAGGGAGGCTGGCTGTGTTCCCATGGACCTTAAACTTCTTGATAATATTAGCAGCCATAGGCAAAGAACATGAAACTCTTTGGAGAAGGTTTTGTAGCCTTTACCATGCAGGGGCTATTAGCTTTTTCTCTTCCTCCTCAGGCAACTCCCTGCTTTTCTTTTTCTTGTCCATGTTCACTGCACACAGTGACCCAAAACACTTGAGTACTTCTCTCTACTCACATAAGCTCAGTGGCTGATTATGCGATTGAAGACACCCGTGATGCTAATTAAAGCAAATAGTCTACTTGAGGGATCACTAAAATCCAATAATGTCTTCTAACTTCTAAGAGGTACCTATAATTATGTCCAGACCATTTTCATGTTTTATTATTTGCAAGACTATGTTAAATCATACATCAAAAGCAAAGTGTCTGCTCTGTGGATTATGAATAACAGAAGGTGGATGCCATTTACTTGTCTCAGTTTCACAGCAAATTGGGATTCTTTTGGGGGGGGGGAAGTAGAGGCGTATCCATATTTTTGACCATGTCAGTAATTTCCATTTTTTAATAAGTTGAAGTTGGTAGCTGAAAGCATTTAGGGGTTTTTAATAGCCTCCCCCCCAAAAAAAGAGTGAATTATTTTTATTTTTAAATTCTCAGATAGCTGCTTAGAGAAGCCTACAGTTGCGCAAGTAGATTGAGAGTTTAGAAAGGTTGGAGTATTTGTTCACTTGTGAAGTTGTCTTTGCCATGCTAATGGTACCCTCGCCTAATAAATCAATCAACTTCTGGAGTGTATTAACAACTTTACAGTACAGTGAAAAAAGTATCACTGGATCAACTAGAATGATGTTCCAACTTCTGTACATGCCATATTCACAGTGTTCTTTTTTGAATCTGTGAACAAAAGCACATAAGTTGTGGACATTTGGGGAAAGATGTTATGAATAACTCTGTAGCTGCTAGAAATTGTGTTGGCTTCTTCTTACACAGATTCACACAGTTTGGCCAGAGATGCCTAAATTTTTGCACAACTGTGGCAGAAAAAGAATTGGCTTATAGTGTTAAAAAATTGTTCTAAATATATAAACACACGCCTGTTTTTGCATAAGCAATGTTACAAAATTTACTAGCCAGTAAACTGCTATGCTTCTAGCCTGTTTTTCTTTGCATGTCAAGAGTCATCCACTCCTTTGCTTTTACAGACAGCCTAAACAGCCTGATTAATGGCGTCCTGTATTCTTTTCTCTTCATCTTGCTACATTTCACAACCCCGTTAAAAGATTATTTTCCTTTGTCTTAGCGGGAAGAACAGTGTAGTCCTTGGCATGTGAGGTCACTGAGATCCAATTCATATGTTGCTATTTTAGGGTACTGGTGATGTCTGAAAAAAAAAAAAACCCCTCAAAGCCCAAGTGATAGCAGGAAGCAATCACATTCAATATCTGGATTGCATCCTTAATTCTTACGCCAGTGGACCAGCATTTTAATGGTGGTAGCTGGCTTATGCATGCATATGCTATTGCTGCAAATAGAAGGGTCAACTATGTCAAAATAATTTGGAAGCAGCAGGAGCTGCATACCAATTGGACAATGTAAAAATCCCCCTACTAGCCTTGGATACAAATGGAAAAGATTGCTTTTACTCACAGTGATATAATTTATTCTATTAATAAAAAAGGACACTTAGGCAAATATTTCCTCCTGAAATATAGGACAATTTGTCTCTTTCACTAACTTCCTTTTAGTACATTTCCTTTGTAGTATGTACAACAAATTCTGTTCTATCTTTTATGCTTGGTTGATATAAAACAAAACAAAACAACAAAAATATTGAAAATCTGGGAATAGGAGAAAATAGGCAGCTTCTAATTTTACAGAGGAAAGTGCTCGCACTATATACTTGAGGGAAATGCAGAATAATGAGATATTTGATGTCTAAGAAGCTTAGAAGTTGATAAAAGAAAGCAAAGAAGTTTATATGAGAGTTAACCAAGGATATAGACCTTTTAGAGACCGAGTGCCCAAAAACCGCCTGCCCCGCCCCTGCTCCGCCCTCAGGGCCATCCACGGCCCACCGCAGATGGCCCTGCAGCGACATGGTGGCCACGCCCTCTGCCTGCGCCCCGCAGTATCATCTGCTGCCCAGCTGCCATGTGCTTGGCTGCGCTGCTCTGCGTGGGCCGCACCCGGGTGACTCTCCTCCAGGGGGACTGCTGGTGAGGGGGGAGGCGGGGCTGGGGTGACGGCGTGCGGGCCCACAGAGAGGGCTCCAAGTGCCACCTCTGGCACTCGTGCCATAGGTTTGCCACCACTGATATAGATATTATAGATAAAGATAAAGCTTTCCCCTTTCCAGTCGTATTTGACTCCAGGGGATGGTGCTTGTCTCCGTTTCTTAGCCGAGGGAGCCAGCATTGTCTGAAGACATTACTGTGGTCACGTGTGCCAGCATGACTATATGCCGAGGTGCACAGAATGCTGTTACCTACCTACCAAAGTGGTACCTATTTATCTACTACTTGCATTTGCCTGCTTTCAGACTGTTAGATTGGCAGGAACTGGGGCAACAACGGGAGCTCACTCCGTAGGGTGGCCTCAAGTCTCAAGGTTTAAATCAATTCCATGACTTGCAATAACCTTGGAAGATACACCTTACATTTGGGGATCCAAGAAGAAGGTCAAAAAGGTATTAATTAAAAAGAAAATAGCTTGGATTATCTCTAGGTGTGGCCATATCAAGGTTGCTTAATTATAGAACCATAAACCATAGCAAAGATTAGCATTGGGCTATACATAACTAAATATGCCAGTTCTCCTAACTAGCCACAAGTCTGTCAATGTTTTGCATGTAGTGTTCACCTTGTTTATTACGTCTTTTATTTAGATAAATAAATCATTGAATATTTTAAACTAGTAATTAAATTTCTGTACCCACTCACTTATTTAGGCAAATTCCTAGAACAGGATGTGTGTGTCTATGCATATGTGTTTTAAAAACTCCACTGGGATATTTAAATTGACAGTTTGCAAACATGACAATTTAGTTAGATCTCCCCCTTCTTTTAGGCAGATTTTTCGTATTGAAAGAATAAAGGTGTGAAGAATGAAAGACAATAATGGAAAGAAAGAGGGAGAAGAAAAAAAAGCAAAAGCTGTTGAGATGGACCATTCCTTATTAAACAGTGTTTTAACAAGTGGGTCTACCAGTTCTGGAAGTCAGCAATCCACTTTCCTGCTAGTAATGTAATATTAACTGTTTTCTGACATCTAATGGTCATTCAGATTTTTGGTACCAGTTAAGCCTAGTTAAGATGACAAAGAGTTTTACTCAGTGGAGTTTCAGAGCAAAATTCCACTTCCTATTATTCAGTGTCTGTTTTGGCTTCTTCCACAGCCACCATCTGGACAGGAAGAGAGCTCCAACAGTGGAAGTGCCCAGGCAACTGTTCAGCCTCCCAAGGGCCAAAGCTTTGTGCAGAATCACTTCCAGGCCCAGTACAGGTAAGAAACTAACACAGAATTTCCCATATTACTACTAAAGATCTACCAATTTTTTTTTGTCCATCTAGAAGTCACCTCTAAAATAGATTGTAGTAGATACAGCCAAAGATCTTACCTGGTGCAAATTCCACAGTGTTACAATTCAGTAGGAACGAACTCATGCCCAGGGATAGACAGAGGGATTGAGCTACTAAGGGACGGCTTCCTGCGGCACAATGAGGGTTGTCACTCTTCCAGGCAGGGAGGAGGAGGCAGCCTGCCTTGTTTAGTCCCTAACCATGGTTCCACTAAGTGCTGTTGGCAGGGCTTTGATGATGCCCCTTCACCTTCCTAAGCATGATTCTTACTAAGACGTACCAATGGCCGAAGAGACTCTCTGTTCTAAAAAAAATGTAGCAACTAGATTGGTTAAATAGTAATCCTGTGTAAATTGTAGGAAGATGCTTCAGAAAAGTGAAAAACAGTAGTTCAGTTTGGAGGCCTTGACGATTACTCTTCCATCAGCTGCCAGTGTTGTGAAGTCTAACCTGATTCCTTCAGTGCAACAATGGAATGCTGCATTCACAAGATAAGCTATAGTGTTTGCACAAGTGACACTAAATTAATCCCAGTGTAGTTTTACTATCTTCATTTGCTCTTTCTCAGCTGGCAAAAATATGAGAACCGAACTGGAGTATTAGCATATGGCTTGGATCATTTTGTAAAAGATCAGGATCCAATTGTACCAGTCTTCTCTAATCTAGTTCCTGAATATGTTTCTTCTACAATTCCCAGAATAGATATAGTTAGGATTCTTGGATATAAGATTTCAGGACATCTGGAAAGTACCAAGTTGCATTGGGAAAATTGTTCCATGTTTCTTTCATGGACCTACCTGAGTGAGAGAGAGAAGGGCCTGTGATAGGAAATATAGAATGTGATTCAGTTCTGTCTCACTTTGTGTACTCAAAGCAGTCTTGGATTAGCACAATCTTGAGGATATTGTAGCTCTTGACATTTTTGTTATAGTAAGTGGATGTTGGAAAAAAGGAAAGGAATGTATTGCTGTCTCCTTTGGGATGAGACAGCAAACAAATGCTTCCATTAGCGTATGATTCCTGCTGTTGACACTGCTGATCCGTGTCTCTGGCACTGAGATGAAATCATTAGGAACTGAGAGACAGTCCCCATCTTGAGGCTGTTCTTCTAGATCAGGGGTAGTCAACCTTGGCTCTTTTATGACTCTTGGACTTCAACTCCCAGAATTCCTGAGCCAGCTAAGCTGGCTCAGGAATTCTGGGAATTGAAGTCCATGAGTCATAAAAGAGCCAAGGTTGACTACCCCTGTTCTAGATAATGCTTTAAAAAAAAGGGCTGTTGATTGCCAGAGCTTTCCATTGTTATGTCCTGTCCTCTGTAGCCGGGTGTTCTGAACCAGGTGAGCCCTTGGTCCTGCCCTTCAGAGAAGCAAGAATGGCAGCAAGGGGAAAAGTACACAGTCAGGACCCTGGGTTTTTGTTCCAGTCATTAGAAGGTAGGTGAAACAGGAACAGTAATTTTTCTTCCTAAAAAAAAGGTCTGATAGATACAAAAAATAGGAACAAATGTAAAGGCAGAGTCATGCTTACTGAACTGCGCAACAATACAGTCCTAAACTTGCACTGTGTCAAATTTATAGAGGCTTTTCTAGATTAAATTTGCCTCCTCTTCTCGTGAGTCTTTCCCTTTATATTTAATTTAGAAGATGATCTGTGGGTTATTTTCACTGGGGGGGGGAAATGAATAAATAGATCTCCCACTCTAGCTGTGAAAGCACATCTTTCTCCTTTTTACATTAAATAAAAGTCTGTTGTGATATAGTTCAGTCCATTCTTGAAAGCTAAATATATTGCAAGCAACGTTCTGCTGTTCTGACACTAGAAGACTTGGGTGCCTAAAAAAGCCTGGATGGTTCATAATGCATCTTTGCCTTCAGGGATGCACTTAGAGCTAGCTAAGATGCTTCTGCTGTACCCTGAACTATACAGATAAGCAGAACAGCCATGCTGCAAATGAGAGAAATCTTTTCAGGGGTGAATAAAAGCTTTTAATTTGGGAAAAGAGGTGACTTAAATAATATGTACAGGATATGAGTTTTGGAAAGGCTAGGAACCCTTTCAGCTGAGGTGTTCTTGCTGGAGACCAATAAGACTATTTCAGCTGCTGCAAAGTCACTTCATAGAATGAAAGAAATGCCATTTAGACTATTTGCTCTCTGTGCAATATACAGGCTGATGGAGCTTATACTCTTGTGGAACCAAAAGGAGACTGAGAGCATTTTCACCAAGAATGGTTAAGTGCTAGAGCAGTCCAGGCAAGAGACAATAAAGTAAGTTAAAACTGCATGGATAAATTGATCCCATTGCATGTGGAATGCAGCTTGACTTTAGAGGAGTGAGCACTGTAGGCACTGAGAGAAGTACAGTAAGTAAAATGAATGTATGAGAAATTCTCAGTGTTCACATTAGATGGCGAGTTCATATTAATTTGGATTGGCACTAGGAACCTAGGTGTAAGCCTGCCTTCCACCAAGGAGGCTCATTAGATGACTTTGGGCCCATCACTGTTTCTTAAGCCAACTCACTTCACAAGACTGTGAAAAGTAGCAGGAGGGAGCATCACCTTGAACTCCTGAAGTAGAAGCACAATATAAACATAACAAGTTATCAATGATTCCCCTATCTGAGTGTAAATCATGCAAATTGTTACGGGGAGTTATAAATGTCATTTCATTAAACCATTAGTCAATTTTTCTTGGGCAACGTCTGCCACTCCAGCTGTTCTTGTTCTGTTTGTCATGGTAGTTTGTTTGTATAGGACTAGGTTAATGGATAAACCACCCTTGCTTGCATCTGCATCTGGGACTTGAAGGATGTGCTGTAATCAAGAATTGAGAGACTCAGTCAGGATTAGCCAGTTACTCCTGAAGGACGATCTTGCTTAAAATGTTATTCTTCTGTTTAGCATGCTGGTTGACCAATTCCGGAAGTTGAAGTCCACACTTTTTTAAAGTTGCCAAGGTTGAAAAACACTAGTCTAACCTACACTTTTGATTCACTGCAGTGGAGGACTACAGACTAAATACTCTTCTCTTTTAGCCAATAAGATATTTATAAAAATAATAAGGGTGGGGTAAAAATAAATAACCTTCCTTGTCTTTGATATACCTGCTTACTTTTTTAAATAAAACAAATAGAGGTATTCCTATATGCAATGTAATAAAAGGGAGTATCTTCAAGATTGATAGTTGAGTAAGGCTGCTGCAGTGAAAACAAGACAACCTCTTATGAAACCCTAAAAGGAGATATTGTGTACTACAAAAATCTTTAAAACTTTACATTGTAGCACCTATTATCCATTGTATGGGATATATGAAGTATCTTATATATCTTAAAAGAGTGATTTGAGAAAGAAAACACATGCACTTAAAGATGCATACCTCTGTGGCAAAAATATATCCCTGTATTTGTACATATTAGCAATAGCACTTAGACTTATATACCGCTTCACAGTTGCTTTAACAACAGCTCTCTAAGCTGTTTACAGAGTCAGCCTATTGCCCCCAACAATCTGGGTCCTCATTTTACCCACCTCAGAGGGATGGAAAGCTGAGTCAACCTTGAGCCGGTCAGGATTGAACTGCTGGCACTCGGCAGAATTGTATTGTTGCTATAAAGGCAAAATGTCTCTGCCATACTCAAAGCGGTAAGCCCAATCTTTTGCAGAAGATTGCATTCAGCAGAGGCAATCAATCGCTTCCTTCCTTCCCACACAGCTTATCATGATGGACATTTCCCTAATTATTAATAATAGGTCACTTAAAATGCAATCAGTTCAGCAAAACTGTCTCTAGGCCTATACCATACTGGGAACCATCCCCTGCAAGCAATTGTGCCTCCCAAGCAGAGAATTCCAATTAACCCTCCTTTATGGGAAAACAGATGAGCCTCCCAATCTCCAGCCTTCTTTCTCAAGCCACAAACGCACATTGCTTCGCTCTACTGTGACATTGCAGCCATCTCCATGGCAACCCATTGTACTGTTTGAAAGGGTGGCTGATGTGGCTCGTATCTATGCCGTAGGAATGCAACCACAAAAATTTTGCTTGAGTAGATACTAGAAATTTACTTTTTTTTCTGCAAATATGCCCCTTATCAACAACTTCATGTTCAATGTGAAGAGCTTGCAAAAGAGAGAAAAAAAATCCCCTTTCACATGCTTTCCTACTTATATTCTGAGAACAAAAACATATTTTTGGGAAGGAAATTGAAATGAACAGAGGTGGCAAATGAGCTTTGCCATTTGATTATTGAATCAGAGTCATTTGGTAGGATGAAACCTAGAGCCACACAAAAGATGGACAAAAATGGCATTGCTCTAGTAGGGCAGTCGCTGTTTCAAAATAGCGCTGTTTGTTTTGAAGTTACACTCGATGGTGAATAAAATTCAGCAAACTGAGAATTGTTTGGGAAAAAAAACTGTTTAGGCCACTGACAGGGAACCTGGTACTGTTTTGGACTAAAAACTCCCTCTACCCTTGTCACAAATTTGGAATCAACCACAATACTGACTGAGATCAAATGGAATTGAAGTCCAAAACATCTGGAGAGCACCAGGTTACCTGTGTTTAAGAGCAGCAATAGGTTTGAAAGTTACAAGCTTGGGCTATGATTAATGAATTCTCAGTGGGTTGTAAAAATGTAAATTTTGAAAGGAACTCCAAAATCATCTAATTCAGTTCTCTACTAGTGCGGGAAATCTTCTACTGCACATTCTTGACAATCTGAACCCAAACTTGGCAGTGCCGAGACCCTTCTTTCTTTATGCTGCTTCCTTTCTTCCCTTATTTATTTTATTATATCCCACCTGTATTTTTACAAATAACTCAAGGCCATGAACATATCCAGCACACACCTCCCTATTCCTGTTTTTCCCATCGCAACAACCCTATGAGATGAGTCGGGCAGAGAGAGAGTCAATGG